GGCTCCCCGCTGAGCAGGGAGCCCAACATGGGGCTCGATCCCAGGACCCTGGGATCATAACCTAAGCCGAAGGCAGATGCTTAACGACTGAGCTCCCAGGCAACCCAATATACTTTAAAACTCATTTTCTTCTTTTTAGCTTTCCCTCACTAAGACACTACCAAATCCTTAAATACGATGGTAGCCTTTCCCAAGCCTAGCTGTTTTGAGGCAATTCTTAATTGTATTCTTTTTTTTAATCTCTCACCAACTTTATTATATTTTGAAAAACTGTAATCCTATTAAGAAAGTAAAAGGGGGCACCTGGGTGGCTCATTCATTAAGCCCCGCATCCCCCTCCCTGCATCAAGCCCCACATTCCCCACATCAAGCCCTGCATCATGGGGATCCCTGCTCAGCGGGAGGCCTGCTTCTCCCTCTCCCACTCGCCCTGCTTGTGTTCCTTCTCTCGCTGTGTCTCTGTCAAATAAATAAATAAAATCGTAAAAAAAAATAAAATAAAAATAAAAAATAAAATTCTTAATAATGAAAAAGAAAAGAAAAAAATTTAAAAAAACAACAACACACAAACCCCTGGTAAATCCATTCTCATAATACAAAAAAAGGCAAGAGGGGACAAGAGCTGTGGAAATAAATGAGGCATAGGTACCAGAGACTGAAACAGGCTTCAGGGTAACCTTGTGAAAATAGCAATTTTTGTCCACACTATTCTTTTTTTTTTTTTTTAATTTTTTTAATTTTTTTTTTTTTTAGATAGAGGTAGCGAGAGCGGGAACACAGGCAGGGGGAGTGGGAGAGGGAGAAGTAGGCTTCCCGCGGAGCGGGGAGCCCGATGTGGGGCTCGATCCCGGGACCCTGGGATCATGACCTGAGCCGAAGGCAGACGCTTAACGACTGAGCCACCCAGGTGCCCCTGTCCACACTATTCTTTTAAGAAAGCCATAGCTACATTATTCTGACCGGCAGAATATTAAAGAACCAGTAGCCTCTGTGTGCTACAAATGACACAGTACATCCTATGAATATATAATACACTTGAATTCCAAATGAAGGGGAGAAATGTCTGAGCATCTTATTGAAAAGAAGTCTGACTTTTCCGTGAAACACCATTTGGCCACCAACAATGGACTTTCCACATCTGCCACGTAATTCCTAGTGAAATTTCTTTGTTGCTTCGGAAAAGATTCAGTCCAGGAGAATAAATCATTTTTTTAAAAATCACTGTCAAAGAGGGGCGCCTGGGTGGCTCAGGCGTTAAGCGTCTGCCTTCGGCTCAGGTCATGATCCCAGGGTCCTGGGATCGAGCCCCACATCATGCTCCCTGCTCAGCCGCCTGCTTCTCCCTCTCCCATCCCCCGACCCCGCTTGTGTTCCCTCTCTCGCTGTGTCTCTCTCTGTCAAATAAATAAATGAAAATCTTAAAAAAAAAATCACTGTCAAAGAAAAAAAATCTCTGCAACAGGAAAAAAATTTGGAAACCAGAAAAAAAAAAAGAAAAAGAAAATCAAGCTAAAAGATTTTCTCAATTCAGTCATTTGAGTTTCTGTTTTTTTTCTGCTCTAGATACCAGTAGTGAAGCCACAGTGCATACTGAGTGTTCTAGAGGCACACAGAACTATTATTTTAAAAACAAAAAAGAAACAAATGAGCACTTGTTGGCATACATTGCAGATGGCTCTCCATAAACAATGAATGAATGAAATCATAACAATTTTTGTATTTTTAAACATAAAATAAACACCTTCAACTGCTAGGTAAGAAACCAGCTGCTAAGAAAGTACCAGACAGAACTGTACTGGTCTCTTCATGTTGTTACACCTGGGATTCCACCCAGACACCCTCTAAATCATAGAAGGGGATGGGGTGCCTGCCGGGCTCAGTCAGTGGAGCATGCAACACTTGACAGAGGGGGTTGTAAGTTTGAGTCCCATGTTGGGTGCAGAAATTGCTTAAAAATAAAAAAATAAATTGTAGAACAGGTATTTTCCTGACCTTAACAGTTTTCCAACTTATAATTTCATATACTTTCTAATTCTGATATTTTTCAAATGTTAAAGATTTCTCAAGAAAGTGTTAATGAGGGGTGCCTGGGTGGCTCAGTCCGTTAAGCAACCCACTCTTGATTTCAGCTTAGGTCATGATCTCAGGGTTGTGAGATGGAGCCCTGCATTGGGCTCTGTGCTCAGCATAGAGTCTCCTTGGGATTCTCTCTCCTCTCCCTCTGCTCCTCCCCCCACTCATGCTCCCTCTAAATAAATAAATAAATCTTTAAAAAATGTTAATGATTTCTCTACTAACCACTTATGTAGAAACTGATCTATTATCAAACTACTATCATGTTTCATATTACCACCTGTCTTAAGCTTTTCATGTCAGTTTTATCATTTGCATGGCTCAGATGCTTGACAAAGAAGGTCTTATTAACCCTATTTTGCCCATGAGATTATTGAAAAGAAAGAAAAGGGAGGGAGTTTAAGTAAAAAAGCAAGGTTAAAAAAAAAAAGGGCAAGGTCACAAGTAAGCTCCTGCTGCAGTAAAACCTAGGTTTTCTATCAGTCTAGGCCTTCTTCATTTTAGGAGAGTTGCTGTTTAAAGGACACTTAAAATACTAGTCACTCCCTCCCACTTTTCTCCAAGATTTGTTCAAACAAAACAATTAAGTAGACTTTAAAGTTAACAGGAAATGACAGAACCAAAAATAACTGGGGTGTGGCCTCACCTCTGAAAAAGATTTCCAGCTGTGAATAAATGCAGACAACTCTGGCCACACAAGATAACATCAGATCAGGATTTAGTACCCAATACACCTTATTTTCTTAGAACAAACCTCAATTATTTCAAACTCTGGAAAACCCAGGAAAAAAGCAACATAAGTCACAGAGAAGCCAAAATTGCTGTGGTCAAGTTCTTACACTACAGTATTTACATTTAAGATAAATCCACAAACTCTAAGTAAGGGCTTGAAATCATTATATTTCATTTATTTCAGCATAATCTTATAAGTATACAACATGCAGTAATTTTATAATTTGGCCAAAAACCATAAATTATACAGACAATGGGAGTGTTTACTTAACTGTGAGCATGCCTAGCAGTAAGAGAGCACCTGCCTTTTAACTGTGTTTTATTTTACTTTACTTCTATATTTAAGGGTCTGAAAGGGTTATTTTGAAATTTCCTTTATATCTTGTGGCATCTTATGGTGGAAATTACATGCCACAATGGCGAGCAGAATTTGAGATTCCTAAAGGTCTGAGGACTGCCACTAAGCTTCACTGAGATCCTATTTATTCTAACTTGACACACAATTCTGGTTTATCTGGTTTCCCTGCCTACTTTAGCTTAGAAATAGCAGATTAGAAGGGCATGGTTTGACAGATAAAGAACAGTACTGGAGCAGATAAACAAAAAACAGACAAAAGCATTAAATAGTAGAGCAGTAAGGAGTCACTTTGGTACAGGAGGAAACTGCCAACACCCTTAAACAGCAGAATGCACCAGCCATGTTAACAGCACAGGACAGAAATTAATGTACACAACTGACCTTGATTTATCAAAAAAGGTTATGTTTAGTATATTCTTTATCTTAAGAGAAGGTTTATACTCTTTATGGGTTATATACTATAAAAACTGACATTAAAATGGTCAAAATTGTTTAAGTTAAAGGGCTAAATGTCAGTTATATGAACAATTCACTTCGATCCCTAATAATACCAGACGGTCTGAGTAGATAAATCTCAAAAACCCCATTTTATTTACTGAACGTTATATAGTGTAGGTAATCAGTGTTTCTGATCATCACTTATGATCTTGACTTTTTAGAGGGGAAAAAACTAAGTTACACACTAAAATTAGTAGTGTAGAAAATCAACATTTATGATGATTCATGTGTTGGGGAGAAAAAATTTAAGTTAAACACTAAAATTCTCCCCCTCCACTGAACATTCAATAGGCTTTTCCACATTAAAACAAAACAAAAAACCAAAAACGTATTCTGTCACCAATGTTAGTTTCTTTTCTCTTTCTAATTACCAAAATGAAAAAACAAAAGCATTTTAATAGTTTTGCCCACTTAGAGCTAACCCCTTTATCAGAAGCCACTAACAGAGCTCGTTTAGGTGTGCACTCCCTTCTTATAAACAGTGCTTTCAAACCGATAGTTAAAACTCAAGAGCGAAGAGTTGTACCTAAGTGTCACGGCTGAACAAAAGTGCATAAATTAGAGGTTATGTTTAAACCAGTATAAGTAATTTAAGAGCAGAAACAACTACAATGTAAAACCCTACAATAAGGAACATTTTAGTTTTGGGTAGAAATCGGAATCAGAGAATATCCTTCTTCAAGTCTCTACAGCCAAAAAATAAAATAAAGCCCCAACATCATGTCAAGAGATCTGTAAATCCCTTTCACACATCACAAAATGGATTTATTTGTATTTATTTCACCATACTGTTTCTTTTAAATAACAGCAGTGACTTGTGATGATCTGTAGAAAGTGGGCCAAAAGGTACACGGTAAACGTCCTTAAAGGGGGGGGAGGGGCGAGATAATCAGATCCTAAAGAAGGGGAGCGGCAGAAAGATCTGACTTGTTAGAATCTACTAAAGTCCCTGCCCACAACACCCTAGATGGCTTCACAGATAAAAAGACGAGAAAAGAGGAATCGTTTCTTTTAAAAAAGATGGGGATCCTGGCCCTTTGGGGTGGCGGGAGAAGAAATCCCCACCCCGCCTGCAAGTCCCACACTACGGGAGATAAATTAGCAATCTCCAGCTAGCTGCAGATCAAGGTGCAACAGAAAACGCCCAGGGACTGCCCTGCGGGGCTCCCCCTCCCCTCTCTCACAATCCCTCCAGGTCCTCCTCCCGGACCGACGCAGCCAGGGTCCCCCGCCGCCCTCCCGCCCCCCTTCCCGGCTCCCCGCCCTCCGTCCCCCCGCCGTCGCCCGGCCGAAGGCCGTTTCCCGCGGGTGAACGAGGAGGGCCCGGCCCGCCCGGCACCTTTGATGACGCGTTCGGTGGTGGAGAGGTGGAGGTTCCTCCCGGACATGGTCCCCTCGGCCTCCTCTCGGCTCCAGGCGACTGCCAGACGTGCGCCTCCGCCTTCGTGTCCAGCGGTGTCAGCTCCCCGGGTCAGTCAGCCCACGGTGCTCCGGCCCCGGCTCCTCCGGGCGGCCCAGGTACCAGGAGGAGGCGGCCACGGAAGCCCGGCCTCGAACCTCGCTGACAGGATGCGGGCCCACTGGCCGCTCCCTCCTGAGGAGCCGAGTCGGGAGCGCGCGTGGCTAAGGGAGGCAACCGGGGCGGCCGCGGCGGCTCGCAGCCCGATCCCGCGTGCGCGCGCGCGCGCTCCCGCACGCCGCTCTCCCAACTTCCCGGCGGCCCGCGCGCGCCGCCGCCGCCGCGCCAAGGCCCAACGCGCAGTCCCGCTGCCCTGGCCGGCGCGGCCACCTGACCTCCCGCCCCCTCCCTGCGGCAGTAGCCCACCCCGGCTTTCCCCTTCTGCCGAAGGCCCTCGGCCCGCACGGCCCAGCTCCGGGCTCGCGTGCTTCCTTTCTCCCCTCCTGCTTCCGACGGTGCGTTTTTCCTCTCCTCAGCCTGCCCTCCCTGCAGCTGACTCTCCCAGGGCTGCCGGCCGCTGTCCCGGCCCGCAGCACCTACCACCAGCCCCTAGGTCCGGCACGGAAAGCCCCGGCGAAGCAGCGGCCATCTTGTGACCTGGCCGCGGCGACCCACAGCAGCTCCCTGGACCGCGAACCTCCTGTCACCCTCACCCTGGGGCCACCTTGCCGAGAGCCCTTGTCTTCCCAGACCCTCCTCACGGGAGCCCGCCCTCCTTTTCTTCTGGTCTTCCACCACTCTGTCTCTAGGGAGCCCTTGTCAATCCGACCACGCTCCTTCCCACAGTTTATCCTCCCTCCCACCCCCAGCCACCACTGAAGCCCGCATTTCAGTTTTCACATTTGTTGAGTGCCGTTAGTATAGGAAGAGGTACGTTCGTGTTCATGCCGGCTCCAGTCCAGTAGTAGTTGGCGGGCCTCAGATTCCAAGTAGCACGAGACCCGGCTGGGCCCCGCGGCCTCCTCACTTCGTCTCCTCGTTTAAGGGAAGGGAGAGCAGCTGCTCCACGGAGCTGCTCGGCCAGACCTCCGATGTGCAGGGTACTGACCTTCTTATAAGCCCTGCGTGTCACCTACTCTGTTTGCAGCAAGCCCGCTCTTCTTCCCCTTTGATGCAGTGACACAGTACCTGTTTGCCCCGCTCATGCTTACTGTGGAACCCGACGGGCAAGTCTCTAGAGTCTTAACAATCTAGCTCATCTCTGGGTTAAAAACTGACCTTTTCTTTCCTTTAATTGTAAGCTTAGAATAGAAACTGTCTTACTATGACTGTCTGACCTCACCGAGTATAGTGCCTGGCAAAGTCAAAAGTGTTTTGAGTTTAGCAATGATAATGTAATATTAAAACTGAGATCCAAGGGCACCTGGGTGGCTCAGTTGGTTAAGCGACTGCCTTCGGCTCAGGTCATGATCCTGGAGTCCCGGGATCGAGTCCCACATCGGGCTCCCTGCTCAGCGGGGAGTCTGCCTCTCCCTCTGACCCTCCCCCATCTCATGCGCGCTCTCTCTCTCTCTCTCTCATTCTCTCTCTCAAATAAATAAATAAATAAATCTTTAAAAAAATATATTTTACAAACCCTGAGATTAAGAGGTGCATGCTCTGCTGATTGAGTCAGACAAGTGCCCCAAAGATTTTTGTTTTACTTATTTTTTTAAGGTTTTATTTTTGGGGCACCTGGGTGGCCCATTTGGTTAAGCGGTTAAATTGGCCTTGGGCTCAGGGGATGATCCCGGAGTTCCTGGATCCAGCCGCAAGGGCCTCCCTGCTCAGCGGGGAGTTTGTTTCTCCCTCTCCTTCTGCCCCTCCCCCCCCTTGTGCGCATGCGTGTTCTCTCTCAAAATCTTAAAAAAAGATTTTATTTTTAAGTAATTCTATAATATCAAAATAAAGTGAACCTTGTTTAAAGAGTTACATGTAAAAAATAAAAGAAGAAATCTAGAAGAAAATGAAGAAGTTATCCTACTTGGTTAATTGTGGTAACTCCAGAGCTAATATATCACAACAGATGCTGTTGCTCCCTCCCCCCACTTATCAGATCAAATACTACTTAGTTAATTCAGATAAGGACTTTCAAGGCTCAAAAGTAATGAAAGGGGGGAGCCTCGGTAGCTCAGTCAGTTAAGCATGGGACTCGTGATTTTGGCTCAGGTCATTATCTCAGAGTCCTGGAATTGAGCCGCACAGTGGGCTCTGCGCTTAGTGGAGTCAGCTTCTCTCCCTCTCCCTCTACCCCTCCCCATGTGCTGTTTCTGTCTCTCTCTCTCTCTCTCTCTCTCTCAAATAAATAAATCTTAAAAAAAAAAGTAGTGAAAGGAATCACAAAGGAATATTGTTTGACTGTTGGAAAAAAATAAACACAATTAAAAGGCACAAAACAGGAAGATATTTGCGTCTCCTAAGCCAGGATAAAGAACTTTATTCAAAATAAGAGGTCTACAATACAAGTATGGGCAAAGGCCATGAACAATGAATTTATAAAAGAATAAAAGATAAGGCACTAAACGTTAAAAAATGTTCAACTTCATAAGTAATCAAAAATTCAAATTAAAACGATGCTATTTCTCACATAGCAAATTGGAAAACATTTTTATTTTTTTAAAAGATTTTATTTATTTATTTGGCAGAGAGAGACACAGCGAGAGAGGGAACACAAGCAGGGGGAGTGGGAGGGGGAGAAGCGGCGGGGCTGGATCCCAGGACCCTGGGACCACGACCCCAGCCGAAGGCAGACGCTTAACGACTGAGCCACCCAGGCGCCCCTTCCCAATTTTAAATGAATGAGACTTAACTTTATTGCTAGTAGTGGTGCTTTTAGTCATGACTTTAACAGTTCCCAGCAACAGTTAGATGTTCTGTTTCATTCAGGTTATATACCCCTCCACCTGGCCAGGGGCTGTGGTATTTTTTATCTAACCGGTGAATCTGATTCTCTTTCTTTTTACTTTCTGCATTGGTCAGGACTGAATAGATATTTGAAATCACCAAGATTGATGTGTAATTGGCATTTCTACCAATCTTTTCAAGCCTAGGTTTCCATCTTACAGAGCTTGTGAGATTTGATATATTTCCTTATGAAACTCCCTAAGCACTCCATAAACCTTAATTAATGACCAGTTCTTCTGAGAAATAATTATGAATGCTTTTAATTTAACAAATACACAGGGAATCCTAATTTCCATTGTTGTATAAAAGTGACCTGGTTTCAGTTTCTATTTGTGTGAAGCCATTAAATATTAAACTTCTGTGTTAAATTCAGGTTAAGAGAATTATAGAATATTTTTTAAAGTAAAATGAGTATTTCTAAAATAGCTACATAGAAAACGTATCTTACAGGGCACCTGGCTGGCTCAGTCGGTTAAGCGTCTGCCTTTGGCTCAGCTCATGATCCCAGAGTCCTGGGATCGAGGTCTCATCAGCTTCCCTGCTCAGTAGGGAGCCTGCTTCTCCCTCTCCCTCTGCCCCCCACAAGCTCTGGCCCTCTCTCTCTCTCAAGTAAATAAATAAATAATCTTTTTTAAAAAGGGTATCTTAAAGTATATAACTTCTAAATTTATATGAAAAGCACTGCATAATTTTTTTAAGTAATCTCTACACCCAATATGGGGCTCAACTTCATAGATCAAGAGTCCCACGCTCTGCAGACTGAAACAGCCAAGCACCCCAGTTAGTAATACATATTGTGTGGACATCATATACAGCATTATATTTAATTCATATCTTCCTATGAGTACATTTTAATTTTGATTAAATTACCTTGGCATGGACCTTCCACAGTGGTGAGGTTTTTTTTTTTTTTTTAAAGATTTTATTCATTTATTTGAGAGAGAGTGAGAGAGAGGGAACACAAGCGGGTTGAAGGGAAGAGGGAGAAGCAGGCTCCCCACTGAGCAGGGAGCCTGATGCGGGGCTCGATCCCAGGACCCCGGGATCATGACCTGAGCCAAAGGCAGTCGCTTAATCAACTGAGCCAGCCAGGTGCCCCAATGGTTGAGGTTTAAAAAAATTAATGAATCCGGATAAAAACACAGCCCAAGGCAACATCCTACCAGTTGTAATAGCCTGATATCAAGTTAGGAATCTCTTTAGACCCTTGTAAGTAAAAAATCCTCATGAAAGTCTGGCTGACTGGTAAATTTGTATTTACAGGTTGATATTCAGGCCATTTTGGGGGCAGTGTGCAAACCTCTTGGCAGGGTGTTATCCCTTGATCTTCCTGGGAAACCCCTATTGTATGAGAACTCTGATACGACAAGGAGCCCCAAAGCTGCCTTCATTCCCTATTACTTTTGTTTGCATCATTCCAAAGCCGGAGATAATGGTGGCAGTCATTACTGGCTACGATCCAATCGTTTAGGAGAAGAGAATTTAATACCCCTCTCACACCTGAGCCCCAGCATTCCACAGGTGAGATGCCGAGGTAAATGGCACTGGCATTCATCAAGTTGTCTGGGCCAAAACTTCAGAATGGGGTGGGGGGGTTGGAGAGGGAGGCGCCATCCCTCATGAGACATATCCTGTCAACTGACGCCCCCTACAGTCCATTTTCCCACACAACAGATCTTTCCAAACTTAAAACATCAATCTGATTTATGTCATTCCTCGGCTTAAAATCCTCAAGCGTCTCTTCCTTTCCCCAAAGTGGCCTGACTCCCATCTACTGTGAACTCAGCTCAAACCTCTTTCCCTCTGCCCGCGACAGTTCAGACATGGTGGCCTTGTTTATACTGTGTATACTAGATTTGGTACAAACTGGCCTCACACAGACTAAGCTCATTTCTGTCCCAGAGCTCTTGCATTTGCCATCTCTTTCGCTTGGAACATTCTCACAAAGCTGCCTCCTCATTACTTATAGCCAGCGCAAATGACATCTCTGATCACCCAACCAGCTAAAGCTACGACACCCCCACATTTCTCTACCTCAATATCCTACTTTATCTGTTGCACTTGTTTCTTTGTGTCTACCCTCACTCCTTAAGGGGAGCATCTTTGTCTATCCTGTTCACTGCTGTTGTCACAGCGGTGCCTAGCCCAAAGTTGGAGCTCAATAATTTGTTGAATGAGTGAATATCTTACTCTTGTCTGAAGCAGAAGTTATTAACCTGTGGTGCAAGGGTTTCAAAAATCATCCCCTCCTCATCCTGCTCCTATAAATGAAATTAAGGTTTTGAGTATACTTGCAAACACTTTGGGGGGTGTGTGTGAGAAATATTGGGAAAGCATCTATTTTTCAGATTCTTTTTTTTTAAATGATTTATGTATTTATTTATTTGACAGAGAAAGGGAACACAAGCGGGTTGAAGGGAAGAGGGAGAAGCAGGCTCCCCACTGAGCAGGGAACCCGATGCGGGGCTCGATCCCAGGACCCTGAGATCATGACCTGAGCCGAAGGCAGACGCTTAACAACTGAGCCACCCAGGCGCCCCTATTTTTCAGATTCTGAAAGGAATCCAAACAACTGAACATTAATTACCACTGGTATAGTTTGAATTTGTAAAGCGCTGTCTCATACATTTTGTTCTCATTTCATTTATGGAGACAGGATAGAAATGACAACTCCCACCTCATAGATAAAGGCATCGAGGTGCAGTTCACATAGCCAGTCAATAATGGAATTGACACAAATCCATTCTTTTGGCCTAAAGATCTTGTGCTCTTTCAGGTGAGGACAAAGAATCCAGAACCGTGGGCGAGTAGTTTTGTATTCATTCCTGCTCATCTTCATTTGCTTCAAAAAGCACCAAACTTAACACTTTTCTAAGGACTTCCTTATTTAAAAGAGCATATAGGGCTGCATTAAAATTTCAATGAAACATTATTTACCATCAGCTAGATCAAGGCAGTTTTCAAGCAAAATTTTAATGTATGAATCAAGGAACGCAAAACAGTTTTGTTAGGCTAGTGGAGCATCATTAGGAAAATCAGATTGCAAGAATAAATATAACAAACCTTAAAACCAAATGAAAACAATGTTGAGATCTCTAATGTTTAGATTTTATCTATCCGTTTAGTTAGGATACACAATTGAACCAACTACATCAAAAAATCAATTTAATCTAATTTTTTTTTTTAATCAGTTTTTCCAGGGGCGCCTGGCTGGCTCAGTCTCTGGAGTGACTCTTGATCTCAGGGTCATAAGTTCAAACCCCACATCAGGCATGGAGCCTACTTAAAAAAAAAAAAAAAATCAGTTTTCCCAGAAAAAAAAAATCTAAATTTAATCTCTTTTCTGCTCACACAATTTTCGAGAGAAGAGGGAGGAAAAAGCTACATTATTTGGAGAATTACTACAAAATGTTTAAACCATGCGAATTTGGTAGCCTAAGAGATTTCTTCTCAGGGGCCCCGTCTATAGGCTACAACCAGACACTGGCTTCAAAAGAGCTTGTTTTTGTTTGTTTGTTTGTTTGTTTGTTTGTTTTGTTTTTAATTATTTATTTATTTGACAGAGAGAGAGCGGGAGAGCAGGAACACAAGCAGGGGGAGTGGGAGAGGGAGAAGCAGCACCCCCCCCCCTGCGGAGCAGGGAGTCTAATGCGGGGCTCGATCCCAGGACCCTGGGATCATGACCCTGAGCCGAAGGCAGATGCTTAACGACTGCCCCACCCAGGCGCCCCAAAGGAGCTTGTTTTATTAACCTCGAGAAGTTATAGGAAACATGCCACTTGAAAGAATTTCCATTCTGGGAGGATACACTGGATCAAAGAGACTTTTTTCCCCCCTCCTCACTAGCATCTATAATTAAAGACCTAAACCTTTATTTTAAGCAACAACAACAAAAGGTCTCTATTGAATTAGCTGTTTACCCCTTAATACCCACAGGGTTAATTAACATCAGGTTTGGAAGGAATTTCCATTAACTAGCTTGGGTGTCATTCTTAGATTTTGCTGCATTTATTATTTTTTTAAATTTTTAAAAAGATTTTATTTATTTATTTGACAGAGAGAGAGAGAGAACAAGCAGGGGGAGCTGCAGGAGAGGGAGAAGCAGGCTCCCCGCGGAGCAGAGAGCCCAATCCTAGGATCACGACCTGAGCGGAAGGCAGAGGCTTAACCAACTGAGCCTCCCAGGCATCCCGATTTTGCTGCATGTAAAAATGTTAGCCAAGGGGCGCCCGGGTGGCTCAGTCATTAAGCGTCTGCCTTCGGCTCAGGTCAGGATCCCAGGGTCCTGGGATAGAGCCCCACATCGGGCTCCCTGCTCGGCGGGAAGCCTGCTTCTCCCTCTCTCACTCCCCCTGCTTGTGTTCCCTCTCTCGCTGTGTCTGTCAAATAAATAAATAAAATCTTAAAAAAAAAAAAATGTTAGCCAAGCCGTGCACACATTCTTTCCCCTGGGACCTGTCACCGTCTGTGTCCAGTCCCTGCCATCTTTTGCCCTGAGAGCGAGTTAAAGACCAAGGTTGGAGCTGGCCTCTGCGTGGGCCCCCAGAGTGGCCACATCGTTGTGGTTGACAACTTGTGTTTTCACTTTCCAGGCCAATGGCACTTTGTAGGGCCCCACTTTGTGGCTGAAACAAGAATGCGACTGCAGTGAAGGATTGCCATCATCATCCCGTGAAGGTGTCCTGTGCCAGTGGAGAGTTCCTTTTCAAGTTTACTCCCATGGGAGTAGCTGTGGACTCCAGAGGGATTGTACTGATGGAGGCACCAGCTGCACCCCGGTATCCGACAGCTCTGGCCCCTTCCTGCCCTGTATCAACAGTCTGCTGAACGAGTGTAGGGACCAGAGGGACTGGCACTGGCCATGTGGTGGTGGCTTTTGCTGATAACCACGGATTTAAGGCCAACGACTGCACAGGGCCCTGCCTGGCTCACAGAGGGACGGATGTAAGGGTGATCAGCCAAGAGGGTCTGGCCAGGAGGTGGGGTCTGACCTGGCAGCACTGAATGTGGGCTGTGGGCATTCCTGCTGCCTTCACTCTCCCTTCTCCCAACACTGGGGTTGCAATTTTTGTATCCGATTTTGCTTTGGGGACTGAATGGGCCTGTACTATGGCCCAAGGACTGGTGCTGAGCTTCACCTAACCGTACCTCTACCCCCAGCCCGGGGCCAGAACTGCCTCTTACTCTCGGGCCTAAGTCCCTCTGGTTGTCTTCCTACCACCCCATACACATTGACAGAGACGGGCAATACCCCACTTCTCATATTAAATGTATACACACACACAAAGCCAAGTGCAGGATGATACATATTTTAAGAGCACATTTCCCATTTACCATTACTTCATCAAAAGAGGTCTTGTCAGGGGTCTCCACTAGGAATTGCCTGATGGGCTTTCTACGTGTGTAATATGTGCAAAAACCCATATGGATTATTGCCTGAGTTTATCTTTCATGTTCCAAAAAACGATAAGCAAACCAGAGAAATAAAAAATAAAAAATAAACCAGATCCAAGTGGAAGAACTGCTTCTTGGCTTGTGACAGGTGGTCAGAACACTTTGTGGTTACTCCTTGACTATAATCGATGCTACCATCGCAAAATCCCCCCTAATGCCAGGGTCAAAGATTGCTGTTCTACAGGGACGGACGATGGTCTCTATTAACTCCCTTCCTTTGTTTTAAAATAAACCATGAGGGGCGCCTGGCTGGTTCAGTCAGTAGGGCATGTGACTTTTGATCTTGGAGATATGAGTTCATGCTCCACGTTGGGTGTGGAGCTTACCCCCGGGCCCCTCAAAACCACCATGAATAGGCATCCGGCAAGAAGGGGTTGTGATCTTAGTAAGAAAAATGTCTTTTGGCCATCAGCTCTAAATGTACTTAACCAAAGACTGATAGAGACCGATGAATCTTTTCCAACCACCAGTATTTTCTTCTTTAAATGGAATGTTAATTCATTTTATGCCAGAAGAATGAAAGGGATTCACTTCTGCTGCGATCTGAACCTGTCATTCTTCTGAAGTCTAGGCATTTCACACTAAATCATGAAGAGTCTCTAAAACAGATGAGCGCTGGGGCACCTGGGTGGCTCAGTTGGTTAAGTGTCCGGCTCTTGATTTCAGCTCAGGTCATGATCTCAGGGTCCTGGGGTGAATGGGGAGTCTGCTTGTCCCCCTCCCTCTGCCCCTGCTCATACTCTCTCTCAAATAAATAAGTAAAACAATTTTTTTAAAGATTTTATTTATTTGTCAGAGAGAGCGCGCACAAGCAGGGGGAGCAGCAGGCAGAGGCAGAAGGAGAAGCAGGCTCCCCACGGAGCAGGGAGCCCGACACAGGGCTCGATCCCAGGACCCCGGGATCATGACCTGAGCTGAAGGCAGATGCCCAACCGACTGAGCCACCCAGGCGCCCCAGTAAGTAAAATTTTTAAAAAATAATAAAAGATGGGCACTGGGACAGGACCCCTGGCTGGCTCAGTCAGTGGAGCAGGTGACTCTTGCTCTTGGGATTGTGGGTGTGACCCCACGGTGGGTGTAAAGATTATTTAAAAATAAAATCTTAAAAAAAGAGATGAACATCTTGTTTTCCCACAAATCAAAACCCCTTTGTCCACATTTGGTGTCTTTATTATTTCTTGGAAAGGGTTTTGTTCAAATCAGATCTCGGCATCATTGAATGGTAGAGTCTGCTTTTCGAAGCAAGGTGATAGAGGAGAAGGGCATCCACCTTCCACCAAAAAGGTCCTAAACGGCCTACCTGGTTAAGAGCATTACAAAGAATGGGCTGAGATCTAAGTCCTAAACTCCTGAAGGACTTGTTTACTTCGCTTAGCTCTGTTCTCCAGGGGCCACAAATTCAACTCTCAAACCTGTTTCTAAATGAAGGAGGACCAGGGGCGCCTGGCTGGCTCAGTCAGGAGAGCATGTGACTCTTGATCTCGGGGTCAGGATTTTGAGCCCCACGTTGGGCACAGAGATTACTTAAAAAACTAAAATCTTAAAAAAAAAATTTTAAGAAAAAAAAAAAAGTAAATAAACAGAGGAGAGCCAGGTAGCAAGGCATAAGCAAAACCAACAGCAGAGACAGAAAAACCCCACTCGAACGGTTGCCAGTGGAAAAGGATTGTTTTCACAGCCCTTTCAGGCCTTTCATTTGGTTTTCTTCATTCATCCCTCCTGTGTGGCAGGTGCTGAAATCCCAGCGAGAAACCAGATACAGGCTCCCCCCCGGAGGAACGCAGTGTATGAAGACTGATTACAACGCAAGTCCAGTAACGGACGGCCGCCAGCCCGAGAAGGCTCTCCACAGGCGACACGCGCCGAAGAATGGAGTGACGGTCATTCTGAAGAAGCCCAGCAGATGGCCGCCCCACAGCGTAGCTAGTTAATTAACGCACTTTAGAGAAGACCGGTATGAGCTATTTAATATATTCCGCTTGAGTTTGAAATAATGGGAGGACTGAGCGATAGGCACTTGGGAATCACTAAGCGTGGTGATTAAGATCCCATCATTTCTTTTCCCTTACTGCTCATTTTTGTTGTGGAAGAAAAACAACTGATCCCTGGCCCTGGGACTAAATTGGAATAAGAATAGGTTTAAACTTTTAGGTCCCATGACTGGATTTCCCCCTGTAAGACATACAGATGTGGTTCAAGTTTCATTCAAGTCCTGGACGTACACAAGGGAGAACAGCGGGGACGGGTTCTTCCGGCGTGCGACGTCAGTGAAGCCACAGGCTCCATCTGAGATAAATAATTTTCTTTTCATTTTTTTAAAAAAAGATGTATCTCGAAGTAATCTCTACGCCCAACGTGGGGCTTAAACCCACAACCCTGAGGTCAAAAGTCGCATGCCCCACCAACTGAGCCAGCCAAGTGCCCCTAAGTCATTTTAAAGTGAGCAGGTTATGACATCGAAGGTTCCGTCTACAATCCCTTGTCCAAATGTGAGCGGGAGCAGGAAAAGCAAGCTTTAGACGTCAGCGTGACGCTATCGCCACCTTGTGTTCCCCAGTCCCCATTACACCCCCATTCCTGTAAAAGATCACACTTGGGATTCAGCAATACAGAATATAGCTTTATTTATAGAATCTTACAAATAAAACATTTACAGTCCACATAAGTTATTTTCTTTTCTAGTTTATCCTCATAACACCTGAGTTATTAAAAAAAAATACTGTGATGGAACTTCAGAACTGTAAAAGGAAAGATGAACAACAAAAGCTTAACCTCTCTCTTTTGCAAAACTCAGACAGCTTTTTGTTTTTAAGCAGATTTCCAGAACACTACCATCTCTTTGGAAGAGGACTAACTACAGACAGGTCTTAGGATACCCAACAGAGATGCCTTCTCTTTTAAACCCAGGGTGAAGAACCAATGAGGGAAAGCCCCACGCTGACACTAGACACAAGAGATACTAACCGCGTCTGGGGGCAAAGACAGAAGGCAAGCTGCCTGCTCCCAGGTCATGGCTCCTGCACGGGACATATGCTTTCCTTGCTAACATTAGGAGCTTGTCACCTGGGGAAAGACGTGGGAGACACTAATGCCAGGGGTGAACAAGATCTCAAAACTTGCTACTCCTCAGACTTCTAATATGTACAAATGCTTAAAACAGCAAATCCAAGAGCTAAAAGTCAAAAGGGAATCGCCACATGTTCAACTCATGAGGTGAATCTGCCACCAGTGGGAAGAGACACTCAGTTGACTACTCGCGGGGCTCCACCCCAACCAAGTTCCAGCCAGCATTGGCCTCTGGACCAATTACAGTTTAAAGAGAATTTCCCTTTGAGGCAGCTGTCTATGAAAGGAAAGTTCTTAAGTTAATATAGATGTGCATGAAAAGGGAAAGCACCCTAGTACTTCATACTTTATTTTTTTTTTAAGTTGGTAACAATTACATTTTCAAGCTCTTCTCCTAAAACTAGGACCCACTAACTCTAACTTAGGGTCCCACTCCAAGAAGAACAGTATTTGTAGGAATGACAGGTCTACAGGGAATGCTAAAATTATAAATTTCATATATCCGTGTGAATTAGGGAAAGAAAAATCTTGGTGAAGGCTTCAAGGTTTGAGTGTTATTTGCTACTAGCTCCTGAAAGCAATGTCAGACACCGAGAAAAATAAAACAGAAAAGACAGAGAACCGTTTTAAAACAGTAACAACAATAATAAAAATAATGATAATATAAAAAGTTAGATTCCAACATTCAAGGAATTGGTTCTTTGGTAAAACTGGACTATAATCCTATCAGGAGTCAGTCCTGATATTTACTCTAAAATCTTGAGAACTCAAGTTTTCCTTCTTCTTCAGCCCATTCTCAAATCTATCCAAGTCAACAGGCAAGAGAAGGAGAAAAATGTATAAAGCATTGCCAGCAGTTTTCCCGCTCATACTCTTTTCAAGACTATTCCTGGTTTGAGGGCCATTTCCCAAGAAGAAAAAAAAACAAAAACAAAATAGACACGGCTTTTAACTACTGTACAGTGGAAAGTCTTCCTGTGTAAGAACAGAAAAACTCACAGGTGTTGGCCATGACCAGCACTCGTCAGTCATGCACACAAATCAGTTAGTGAACACAGCCCCTGGGCTGTAACTGTGGGCACCACTAAGAAAGGCTTCTGGAGAGACTGGCTCCCCAAAGTGGCTAAAGAATCTCACATTATCAATATGATAATAATAAATCAATTCACCTAGTGAACCTGGAGATGAGCTCCCCTTGAAGCCAGAGTTCTGAGGATAGGGCTCCACAGTGCCTGGGGCTGGCCTACAGTCTCACAGACAAGTCTATCAATCCATCTTCTGAAGAGGGTTAGAGCGATTAAGGTTCAATGCAGTATAGGATTCGCCCTTTCTCGCTTGGGGTGAGGGAGGAAGGGGGACCTAAAATCCACTCACAGTGCCTCATCTGGAAGCCCCTGTTCAGCAAGCATTTACAGGGCCCCGTCTTCCATTACTTGTACTTTTATTTATGCAATCAACAAAAGGTGCAGCTGGGCCTGCACCAAGTCCATTTCTGATCAGCTTTGTCTAAGAAGCGCATGAGCTGCACCCAATTCTGGAAGGAAACGTGCCACTTTGCAGCAGAAGTACTGACCAGGGGAGGGAAATTTGTGCAGTCTCCCCTCTGATACAAGATTGTAAATGTGCTTCTAGGGAGGCAGATAAAATAACTCTCAGAAGATGGGAGAGGGGGAGGAAGGGGAGGTGGAAATCAGAGCAAACCAACTGATTTCTTGCACGTCTCCATTCTCCGCCTTCCATTCTGTCAGTGTTAATGTGAAAGAAGGGAAGGAGGTCCAGGCAACTGACCCCTGTACAGCATTCCACCAGCGGGGGGCGCTGGCTCAGCCCTGCGGCCACAACACCATTGGCCGGGATGTGGGGGGGGTGGAGGGACAGGGACACAGCCATCACTTCCATCCCCGCCCCCAACCCCGCGATGATCCTTGCCTCCTCTCTTGCCCTACACGACGTGTTCCAACTTTCAGTTCTCTCTGAAAAAC